TCGTCGCAGCAAGGGCCTCGCCTTCCCGGGGGGGGGGGCGGCTCGCCCTCGGCGGAGGGCGGCGGCGCGGGAGCGGCCCCCCGGGGCCCGCAGGCGGCGGAGGCCGGCGGAGGCCCGCGTGGGGCCGAGGCCGGGCGTGGCCGAGGGTGCCCTCGGCGGCCCGGGGTGCTCCGCAGATGGCCCGAAGGGGCCCCGACGGTCGCAGTCCAGTCGCCTCCAAGGACATTCCTCCATCCCCTCCCCGTGCGTCTCCCCCCCCCCTTTTCCCCTGCCCTCCTCGCTTCCATTCCTCCTCTCGCCCTCCCCCCCGCTTCCCCCGGAGGGAGGGAGGGGGGGGAGGAGGAGAATGGAAGGGAGAGGGAGCAGGGCAGGATCCGTCCCCAGCCCCTCCCTGCCCCGCAGCCTTGAGCACCTAGACCTTCCGCCTGTTCCCCGTGCCCTGTCTCCGTCAGGCTGTCATACCGCTGCCTTCCGATTTCTGTTCACGCTGCTCTATTCTTTGCCATCTCTTCTTCCCCTCCTGTCCCCCACCTCCCCCCATCTTGCCCTCTTTGGCCCCTTCCCTCCCCAGTCCTCTTCTAATCATGCCACTCCCATCTTCCTATCCCATATTCCGTTCTTCTCCTCCTTGTTTCTTCCCCCCCCTTCCTCCCCATCTCAGCCCACACCGTCCCCATACCATCCAGCCATCCCCATCCACTGTCTCGAAGGGCTATGGGACGAGCTGGGTCACAATCTCACGTTCGCCCGTGGCCTCGAAAACGTGACAGCTGCCGAATGGATTAGTTTCTTGCGGTTGGTGGTTGCGGCCGCGTGGCCCCCAGAAATTGTTCCCCGCTTGCGATTGCGGGTTGCCGCTTCGCGGTCGGACCGAGGTATAAGATCAAGGTCGGTTCGGTGAGGGTGCCATCATGTTCTTCGTGCTTGTGGGATGCTCTTGTGCGTCCTGGTGGGGATACCCTCAAACGTTCTTCAGTTTGGCCGGCTGGGAGTCTCATGCTCTTGAGGGATGTTGTTCCTGCCTGCAAGACTCGTCACGGCGCTTGCGCGGTCGGCGCTACCCAACGCTGGCTTGAGGCGTGTGGACCACGCGCAGGGTTGCCCGAAATCAGGCAGTGCCCTCGCAGCATTGAAGAAAGCGTTTATCAACGAGTGTCCAGAATTATCGGGCGACTCGCATTTGAACGGCGTTTCATGTTTTTGTTGACGAGGTCTGTAGGTTTGACCGCAGGGGTGATCCGTAAGGGCTTCGCCCCCTGCCGCCGGCCCCCTTTCTCGGAGAATGAGCGGAGTGGCGCTGATGTCGCTCGGGCCGGGCGAAAGGGGGGATAGCAAAGGGCGTGTTTGAGAGATGCAAAAGCTGAATCATGAGGTCTGGGCGCCGCCGTGAAGCAGTGTCGGGACTTGTTTGTTTTTGGACCCTGACCCTACGGATCTGCATCAGGGATGCCAGCATATTTCAGAAATGTTGCCTCCCAGTGTTTTTGGACCCTGACCCCGCCGATCTGCGTGAGGGGTGCCACCGAATGTCAGGAATGTGGCACATCCCCTTTGTTTTTGGACCCTGACCCTGCCGATCTGCGTGAGGGGTGCTACCGAATTTTAGACATGTTGCACATTCCTTGTGTTTTTGGACCCTGACCCCGCCGATCTGCGTGAGGGGTGCCACCGAATGTCAAGAATGTGGCACATCCCTTGTGTTTTTAGACCCTGACCCTGCCGATCTGCGTGAGGGGTGTTAGCGAATTTCAGAAATGTGGCACATCCCTTGTGTTCTTGCACCCTGACCCCGCCGATCTGCGCGAGGGGTGCCACCGAATGCTAGGAATGTGGCACATCCCTTGTGTTTTTGGACCCTGACCCCGCCGATCTGCATGAGGGGTGCCACCGAATGTCAGGAATGTGGCACATCCCCTGTGTTTTTGGACCCTGACCCCGCCGATCTGCGTGAGGGGCGTCAATTTCTACCCACCCCAGCAATTCAGACAATACGATTTCTCTGTGAAAAAAATCCCGTTTGGGGCCTCCCCCCTTCGCGCGGTCCATCAACAAGGAACAGCAAGCAGCAAGAAGTCAACAAGGAACAGTAAGCAGCAAGAAGCAGAATTGTAACAGTGGAAACTGGAAGCTGCAACTGGTACAGGAAACTGCGAACCTCTGGCCTACAGCCTGGTGGCCCCACGAGGGGGCCCGCGGATTCCGTGGGCCGTTTTCGGTGTCGACTTCGTTCTGCAGCAGAGGTGGACTGAAGACAAAGCAGGGGTAACGAACCCAAAGCGAAAATGAAACACCCTGCTTAGGCAGACCCTTGTCTGGCCGTACAGTGCCGTTTTTAATACATGCTCCGCGTGCGGATCATGTATTAAAAATGCAGGGATTTAGTATTAAAACCAACACTGAGTTCATGCATAACTTTATTCATGCATTAAAAGTCTTACATTTTCAATAATCCGATGTATTAAAAACTGGCCTGTACGACCGCCCGTGGCTCAAGCTGTGTTCCGCGGCTGCGGGGGCTGTGGGCGGCTGCGCGGGCCGCCCGCGGACCAAAATCGAGAGCGCGGCTCGCCGCACAGTGCCCGCCGTGGCGGCAGCCCGTCCGCGTCCGGGAGAGCAGGCGGCCAGCCGGCCGCGGGCACAGCAGGACTCGAGCATGGGATCGACTGCAGAGTTGATGAGCCCCAAAATGAATCTGCTCGTCGAGTCTACAGACAAACAATGATACTTCCGCGTAGATTTACGAGCCCAGAGAGAGCGCGGTTCACCGCACAATGCCTTGGCATCGTTCGGACGTGTGCACTTGTCCTTCGGTGAGGACCACCGAGGAGCATCCTGGATGATTTGGGGAGAAAGCCACGAACGGAATCGAAAAATGCACGGGGAATGGACGTCCGAGCGATGGCGAGCGAGCAGGGGATCGGCTGCAGAGTTGATGAACCCCAAACTGAATCTGCTCGTCGAGTCTACGGACAAAAGATTAGGATTCCGAGTAGATTTGCGAGCGTTCGACGCATTCGTCGTAGACTCGATGGGGGGAAGCAACTTCGGGGTAAATGAATTCTAGTCGATCCCTCACTCGAAAGACACCGGGCCACCACCAGCGCTGGATTTCTGCCAAATTTCTGCTAGAGGGCGCCCTGGCACTGTTCGAGCTGCCGCTCCAGAGTTGGCCACCGCGCGAGGTGGAGCGCCCTGCAGGATGTGCCCGTCGGTGGAGGTGGTCACAGACTTGCCTCGCTATCTCCTAGGCGCGACCTTGCTCGGCGGCTACCGATGGGGCGGGAACTGAGGAGGAGACGGAGTTCTCAGAAGGCGGCGGGGCTTCTCAGACGCCCTCCGGCCTCTTAGGGGTTTCCCGTGTCTTCGGGGAAGGCTTCCAGGAAGCTTCTCAGAAGGCCGGGGGGATTTCCGAGCTTTCCGAGAAGGCCTTCCCCTTCTCCCTTCCCCCTCCCCCTCGCTCGCCGCCGATCGGCTCCGCCAGAGACCACTGCGAACGGGACTCTCGACCCCCACCTTTCTTTGCCGAACTCACCACCCACCAAACCACCCCAACCCAACCCGAAGGTTCAGATTTACCCTCCATTTCCAGTGGGGGGGGGGGGCGGGAAACGTCGAAAAAACACATGTGGAACCCTTACCCCCCCCAACCCGAAATTCGGGGCTTCGGGTTGGGTTGGGGTGGTCTGGCAGGTAGTCACGAACGTCTCGGGGATCGACCCCGTCAGGGCCCCAGAGGCCCAGGGCCCGGGGCGGACACCAGAGCGCCCATCGCAAGATCCTGACTTGCGCACGGCAGACGTGCGGGGCTCTGCGCCACGAGCCCGCAGCCGGGCCCGGAGGGTGCGCCCGCCAGGCAGGACACATTTTTGGTCTGGTCGATGCTGTACACTTGGCATCGCTCGGACGTGTGCATTTTTCTCGGAGGGAACCATCGAGGATCATCTTGGAATATCGAGCAAGCAAAAAACACACGCACGACACCGAAAAGTGCGCGGGAAATGTACGTCCGAGCGACGGCAAGTACCGTGTCGATTGCTAACTGCTGCCTCCGCCGTCTCGATGCAGATATGCTGGGCGATCCGATGCGGCCCGATGCCTGGCATCGTGGCGCTGCCGATTCGATTCGGTTTCCGGATTGGTTCAGATTGCTTCGATGCCCGTCTTGATCCGATCCGCTGTCGTGATTCGATCCTGTCTGATCCTGCCAGCTGCCCTGGGCAATAGTTCTATCCATATCCAGTACGTCTGGGACTCCTCCTGGAAGGGGCGCCACAAGACCGAGACGCTCTGGATATGGATACTCTGGGGGATCAGCTTTTTACTGATATCTAGTGCGCCTCGGGTTTCTGAGGAAGGGAGCCCGAAACTCCAAGCTGTCGTGGATCTGGACAGAAGTACAGCCCGCAAGCTGGGCACGTGGGGGTCGCCCGCCAGTGGACTACTTCGGCAAGGTGGACCGCGTCTTCACCTCCGACAGGGACTGGGGCCAGCGGCTCGGAGCCTCTCGGGGGGGGGGGGGGCGGGGCGCGATGTCGGGAGAGCGGCTGGCAGAGAGAGGGCCGCTGCAGCCCGATCCGAGTCACGTCCCGGTGTCCGATGTCCCAGCTCTCGAAGGGGAAGCAGTACAGTGAGCGGCTTGAACAAGGAACACCTACGTTTCAAAAGGGGCTGTGTCTTTCCTCAGGTCTCACATGCGTGATTTACAGTTCCCTATGCGTTATCTATGATTCATCGTTCCTCATGCGTTATTCCTTGGGATAAACAGGGGCATCGTTCCTTATTTATCGTTCCTTAGGTCAGGCCGATGACTACCCTTACCACTACCCATCGCCCGTTTTCCCCTTTTGGGGTGCCTCCTGGGAGGCCCTCGTCGCCACCGTTGGATTCGCCTCGACAGTCTGGTCAGAACGCACCCCCAGAGAGACCCGGGGAGTAGCTGTATCAGTATTTTTTTGGCCTCCCCGGATCCGACTCGCGTCCCGATCCGATGTCCTAACTCGGTGCCGACTGATCCTGCGAGGAGGATCGGGTCGGACGAAAGGGGCGGATCGGGGAAAGGGTCCCGAAAGTTGTCGGCGTGCAGGTAACTCTTCGGATCCACCGCTGGGCGCCTTTCTCGATGCATTCGCGCCTCGAGGCACTCGCGCCTCCGGCGCCAGGAGAGTCAGCTGCGGCCCGAGAGGGAAGAAGTGCCTGAGTGCGGTGCGCCGCTAAGGGCAGGAAAACTCAGCGGCCAAACTCGCAGTAGGCACACAGTTCAGAGGAGGAGGAGTAGGAAGAGGAGGAAGAGGAGGAGGAGGAGGAGGAGGAGGAGGAGGAGGAGACGGGAGGGAGAGAGGGAGGGGGGGAGGGAGTGAGGGAGGGAGGGAGGGGGGAGGATCGCTGTTCTGCTTGACCTCCCGCGGTGTCAGAGCAGCACCGGCGGCAGAGAACCGCAGCCGATCGACGTGTCTCACCATGCTGCTAGTGCACAGCTGCACAGCATCTTCTCTGCCAGGAGGAGGAGGCGGAGGAGGAGGAGGAGGAGGAGGAGCAGGAGGAGGAGGAGCAGGAGGAGGTGGAGGAGGAGGAGGAGGTGGAGGAGGATGCGGAGGCGGAGGAGGAGGAGGAGGAGGAGGAGGAGGAGGAGGAAAAGGAGGATGCGCCGTCGAGGCGCCTGGCTCCTTACTTACGCTTGGGGCAGGCCGCTGGGAGGATTCGGGAGCCGCGGCGGGGACGTGGGGGAGGGGCGGGGCCGGGCCCTCCCGACGTCCGCGGGCCGAGATTTGCACGGTCTCGGGGCGCTCGAGCCTGGAGTCTCGGCGCTTTGGCGGCGCCGAAGTCGGTCGGGAGGGAAAAAAGCACACAGACACAATTAACCGACGATTCCCCAGAAAATATAGGAAAATATGGGAAGTGGGGGGGAAGGCAAAAACCCAGAAAATTTTGAAAAATATGTGGAATCCGGTTATTTGTGTGTATTTATTTAATCGCTTCGCTCATTCCGCCGGCCCATACAGTCTCATGTCTGCCGTTTGCCCGAGGGCCTGGTGTCAATGCGGCGCTTTGGGGGTTCCTGGGGCCGCTTGGGGGACTCCTGGGGCGCTCGGGGGGGCATTTGGGGGGCCTCCTGGGGCCGCTTGGGGGACTCTTGGGGGCCTCCTGAGGGCCCCGTGGGGGCCTCTTGGGGCCTCTTAGGGGCCTCGTAGGGGCTTCTTAGGGCCGAGGGCTCGAAATGTTGTTTCGTGTTCCCTCTCTGGGGCCCCTTTGGGGGCGTTCTTGGGGCCCTCTTGGACCGTTTTGGAGGCTTCTTGGGCCGTCTTCGAGCCCTCTTGGGCCATCTTGGGGCCCTCTTGGGTGCCTCTTGGGCCCTCTTGGGGCGATCTTGGGGGCCTCTTGGGCCGTCTTGGGGCGTCGGGAAGCCGAAGAGGTGGAAGCTCCAAAATCTCTCAAAAACCTATGGAAAAACAATGATTTTTGCCTCCGGGGGCCCTATTGGGAGTGCTCTTGGAGGCCTCTTGGGGCGTCTGGGGGCTATCTTGGGCGTCTTGGAGCGATCTTGTGGCATGTCGGACCCCTCGTGTACCATCTTGGGGGCCTCTTGGGGGCCTCTTGGCCTTTCTTGGGGCTCTCGGGGACGTCTCGGAGCCCTGTTGGTGCGCTCATGGAGCGCTCGGGGGGACCCGGCCGGGACCCGGCCGGGACCCGGCCGGGACCCGGCCGGGACCCGGCCGGGACCCGGCCGGGGACCGGCCGGGACCTGGTCGGGGTACTTTTCGTCCGGGGACCCCCAGGGGCCGCCCCGCGCGCGCGAACTAGAAAATTGTTAACCAGTTACCGGAGATCTTAGCACGCCTCTGGCCCGTTGGGCCGGCGAATTTGTGTGTCCCAGGGCCCCTTCAGTCGGGCCGAACGAAAAGGGGGGATTAGGAAAGCGGGGGTTCTTAGTTGCCTCGATGCGCCCGTTTTGAAACGCAATACGTCCCGTGTTCAAGACGTCCGTGTCAATACGTTGCGTGTTGGCTCCACGTATTGGGCCACGTTTTGGCGAATGTATCGCGTCTGACCTACGTTTTCAGCCTACGTGTTGAGCTCCGTATCGATACGCTACGTGTTGCGTGTTGCGTATCGGGGCAATTTAGGGGGGGGCGACATTTGCTGCATGCAGCTGGTTGCTGCCCCGCCGCCGGGCCCATTCCTCGATACATGGGCGCCTCCCGGCGCCGGGAGGCGCCGGGAAAAGCAGCTACGCGAGCTGATTCTCAACCCCGCCTTTTGCTATCCCCCCCTTTCGCCCGGCCCGACAAAGCGTGCAGGACTTTTTTGAGGGGTCGCACTATCGGAGTAGGGATGGGAAGCTTCTCCCTCGAAGTGCCCGCCAGAAGCAGCACCCTGCTGCGATGGGGGAGGAGGGGTCGAGCTGGCCAGCCCTGACGAGTCCGGGGCCCCGCCCGTTCCCATCCTCGCTCCCGCAAGCTTAGGCATTATCATCTCCCTGCTGGGAGGCGTTGGAGGAGGCTAGCTGGCCTCGCCAGCCAGCTAGCTTATAGCCCCACCGAACAATGTTCTGAGAAACTTCTGTGGTTCCCATAAAATGTTATTAGAACATGTCTGGCCGAGACTGTCTTGTTCCCTACCTAGGCTCTGCCTAGAAGGGTTCTTACTCTCTTAGCTTAAAGGGGCCGGGCAGTGGAACACGCCCCGGGCGGTTCCCCCAGTCCCCTGAGAGCGGTTCCCCCCAGTCCCCTGGGAGCTTTAGCTTTAGCTTTAGCTTTAGCTTTAGCTTTAGCTTAGCTGTAGCTTAGCTTTTTAGCTTAGCTCGCTTTAGCTTAGCGTTTCGCTTAGCTTTTCGCTTAGCGTTTAGCTTAGCTTTAGCTTAGCTTTAGCTTAGCTTTAGCTTAGCTGTAGCTTAGCTTTAGCTTAGCTGTAGCTTAGCTGTAGCTTAGCTTTAGCTTAGCTGTTGCTCAGCTTTAGCTTAGCTTTAGCTTAAACTTAGCTTAGATTTAGCTTTGTTTTAGCTTAGCTTTAGCTTTACCTTAGCTTTAGCTTAGCTGTGGCTTAGCTTTAGCTTAGCTGTAGCTTAGCTTTAGCTTAGCTTTAGCTTAGCGTTGCTGTTACTACTAATGCTGCTTTCCTAGGGGTTCCAACTCCTAGGTAGGGTCGCACTGGGATAATTTTAACACGTCGGGTTTATGTTCTAAGAGCATCGTTTTCGTTCCGAGAGCAGCTTTGGGCTCTAAGAACACTTCGTGGCGTTGCCGCGCGGCGGGGCGCAGAGGGAGAGAGCCGCGGTGGCCGAGGCCACGGCACGGAGGCGGAGCCCGGGCTCGGCGGCCGGGGGCTCTACTGGCCGCGCGGCAAGGCGGGCCCCATGGAGGGCGGTGAAGGGAGGAGGAGGAGGTGGAGGAAAGGAGGAGGAGGAGGAGGAGGAGGTGCCGATGCCGAGGGGTCGATGTTCCACCGCCGCTATGCCAGAAGTGCGCGGGAGAGGGAGGAGCAGGAGGAGGAATGGGAGGAGGAGGAGGAGGAGGAGGAGGAGGAGGAGGAGGAGGAGGAGGAGGAGGAGGAGGAGAGAGGAGGAGGGGGAGGAGGAGGAGGATAGGAGGAGAAGGACCTCCCCATCCTCTCTTCTCCCCCGTCCTGCCTGTGGCCCTACCATCGCCTCGTTTTCGCCTTTTCGGGCCTCCTGGAAGGCCCTCGTCGCCACCGCTGGATTCGCCTCGAAAGCGTGGTCAGAACGCACGCTGGGTGAGGTCTGGGGAGTGGTGGTATCGGTGCTGTTTGGCTTCTCCAGGATGTCAGAGTTTGTTTCTTGGCCACCCTCACCCAGAGGTCGACTGTTTTTCCTTTGACGCACACCCTGGAAAAGGTGCCACCGCGCAGCCCGTCAGGGAGCCGGGTGCGCGGGCGGGCACGATGGCGCCGCGCCTGAGCAGGCAGCTGCGCGGCGCGCGGGTGCTGAGGGGGTGAGGGGGCCAGCTGGAGAGTCAAAGAGACAGCAGCAGGAGGGCGAGGTGCAGCTGCAACCTTGGCGTCAGGAGCTCGTAGCGTGTCGCACCGTCGGTTCTGGCCCACCACGATGCGGCGCGGCACGCTGCTCACGTTCCCACCCCCGTGCGTCAGCGTCCCGACCTGGTTTCCCAGCCTCCCGCCCCGCGAGGCGGAGCGACGCGCCATCCGCTCGCAGGGTGCGGCGTGTCGCCGGGGGGTCGCCGCGGCGACACGGGAACCAACACTTCCTGACCGCAGTTGGCCTTCGGGGTGCCCCCTCGTCGCCACGGCCGGACGCAGCTCGACAAACGGGCGCGTGTGGACCCCAGGGTGGTGTGCGAGGACCGGCTTTGAGCTGCCGCTGTCTTTGCTCGCTCTGCTCCGAGCGTGGGCACTGCAGTTGCACCGCATCGCGAGGACGAGCGCGCAGCTGACACTGCAGTCGCGCCGCGTCGCGACTGCAGTCGCGCCGCGTCGCGAGCTCCAGTGCGCAGCTTTCCAGGGGTGCCATCGCGTCCTCGCCTCTCGGCCCACCCTGGCCCTCAGCCACGGGCCATGGGCTTCTGGCTTCCAGCTGCGGCCCGAGCTTCGGGGGGGCAAGGGCCTTGCATCCCCAACGCGCATCTTCATGATCTGGCCGCACTGTAGTGGGCCGGGGATGATATCTTGGCTGGGGCTATCAACTCTCCCAGAGTTCACGGCCCCTCTCCTCCTGTCAGTGCGCGCCCCCTGGCCCGCCCCTCGGTCGCGCACATGCCTCGGGCCATGATGCCCGAACCCTGCCTCTTCATGCCTTCCTTTTCGGTGCGCTCGTCCGCCGCTGGACCGTCAGATGCCGAGCAGGCCCATGTCGGCCGCACGTGGAATGAACGTGACTCTTTGAGTAGCCTTTGGTGCGCGGTTCTCGTGCGGCGCTGGTCAGGGGCAGCGTCAGGGGAGAAGGGGCTGGGGGGTACCTGGGCTCGTCCCTTGGTTTCTCCTCGGGCTTTCCGCGCAGATGCCTGCGCAACCGGGAGCCTAGGGTCGCGCCGTTCTTTATTCGAAGCCCCCACAGTCATGGCAATACGTCGACTGTAACTGCACGGGCTTGTCTGCCCTGGCCGGCGGTCCTCAGCTTGCTCCTCCCGCCCAGGTGGTGGGCGGGTGCTCCTCCTTCAACACGATGGTGTGGATGCGCCCGGAGCCCCAGGCGCGGAGAGGGTATCGGCTGCGCGTCAGAGTGACCCTCCTCTGGAGTGGCCTTTTGTGTCGACCCACGGGGTCCTCCTGGCGGCTGCCACAGGTTCGGATGGCCCATGGGGCGAGCACTACATGAACACAGGGGCTCCTGACGCCCCTTTCGTAGACGAGGCTCCCCGGCGAATGCGTGTAATGCCCGCCCCTGGGCCATTCACCCCTGTTGCCCCTACAGACCCCCCCCCACCCCCTCCTCCTCCGCCTCCTCCCTCCTCCCTCCTCCCTCCTCCTCCTGCCTCTTCTATTCTCTGTGAGCAAGCTCCTGCTGTCTCCGCAGCTTCTCTGCCCAAGTGCCCCCCGTCGGCCGCGCGTGCGGGCGCCTTATGCAGGCGGTCGCACAAGCGGCTCTCCAGGGCGCTGGGGAGATTTTGTTCAGGGGGCTGCGGGCCGCGCTCTACGAGCGGCTCGTGGCTGCCCCCCTCTCTGTGCTTCAGGACCAGGGGCCTCCATCGCCTGCCTGGTCCATCCAGCAGGCGGACTCGTCCGAGGGTGAGGGGGCCTCCTGCCCTCTCCCTTCGGCGGGTTCCACCTGCCCCACCGTCTGCCTCGGGCTGGCGGTGGACCTGAGCGGCGGGGTCTCTCCCTGGCTGCTCAGCACGGTCGCCGCCCTCCTCTGGGTGACGGCCGCCTGCAGCGCCTGCGCGGGCTGCTGCCTCGGGCTGCTGGGCCCGTACGTGTGGCGGAGGCTCTGGCCCTCCGCCTGGCCGCGCGGCGCGGTTTCTGCTTCACCTGAGCAGGACCGCCGTGCGGCGCGAGCGCTGGCCTACGGGGCTCCGCCTCGACCTCAAGCGCTCGAGCGGGCAGACGCCCAGCGTGCGGGCGGCGGCGTCCACGGCGGCGCCCACTGATGGCGGAGCTGCCACCAGTTGGCGGAGGGCCCCTTTGGCCCGAGCTCTACCCTTTCGCTGCGCCCACGGCGCGCGACTACGCACGATGGCGCCTAGACGACGGCGACACCAGCTGGGCGGCTATCCCCCTCGCCTCTCGAGAAGGGGGCATCCTGCTGGCCCTGCCTGGTGCCTTTCGCTCTACAGCGGAGCTCGAGGCTGCCGAGGCGGATGGCTTTGCTGGGATGATAGGCCCCTTCCAGCTAGTGGACGTCCAGCTCCAGGGGGCCGCTTCACGGCCGCTCGCCACTACCGCATCCGTCCTCGTTATAGATATCGAGGTTGCCGAGCTCGAGCTCGAGTCGCTGTACCCTCTAGAGGTCGGCGACGACGCAGGCATCGTTCCCTTCGCCGAGGTGCGCAGCCGCGTCTATTGGCCGCATCCTTCGGGGGTTCGGGTGCTTCGCGAGGGCTACGCTCTTTTGCACGGCGCCCCGCCTACCGCAGGGGAAGAGCCTCTCCCAGGGGCCGATCGGGCTACCCCCTACCACTCTGCCGACGAGATGGAGGAGCCCGAGGGGTTCGCGGCCGACGGGGAAGCCGACCGCGCGGCCCCAAGTGCGCGAGCCCCCGCGGTCGCTGGAGCGCCGCGCGGCCCGCCCGCCAAGCGCGCTGGCGCCGCCGCGCCGCCACGGGTCGCGGGTCCTGCTCCGATTGCTCCTGGTGCTCCTGCGGCGTCTCTGGACGACGGGGCTCCCATGACCCGCGCCGAGGTAGCTGCCGAAATGCGCGCCTTGCTTGCAGCCCACGCGGCCTCCACGATGGTCGGCGGACCCGAACCGCTGGGCCCCGCTCCGGCTGCCCGGAGCGCTCGGCCCGAGGTGCCTCAGCTTTTCAGCGACGAGGCGGCGCGCCTCGGGCTGGATCCTGCGGGGATCGAGGCCGTCTTGTCCCACGCGCCCGTGGCCCCACATCGGGTCTCCGCGCGCCCCAAGGGACCCACCTCCGCGCTGGTCTCGGCGTGGGAGAAGGCGCGCTCTCTTGCTGTCCCTCGGGCCCCTTCGTCCGCTTCCGGACCGATGGGCCCCCCGCCGCCGCCTGGGCTAGCCCATCCCGCTGCGGTCGACGGCTTTGCCGAGGCGGGCGGCGCCGACGGGTTAGAGCCGCCCCTTGCGGCCAATCCGACGGACTTCAGCCTCATGCTTCAGTGCCTGCACCAGTCCCTTTCCTTGCAGCAGGGGCGGGGCCATCGCCCAGCCTTCCACCCGCTTCTGGGGACCCTGAGCGACCAAGCTCAAACTCCGCCCGCGACCTCGGGCGACCCCGCGCACGCATCGGCTCAGAGGGGGGGAATCGCTCGGAGGCGCGAGTGGCAGCAAGCGCTGATGCAGCACGGCCCCGACGTGCGAGGACTGATGAAGGAGAATTTGGCCCGCGTTCTGGGCGTGGAAGTCAGCGCCGTGACCCCCATGGCCATGCATCAGTACTTTCGCGAGCACAGCCCCCTCGGGGCTCAGCCGTCGACGCACGAGTTGTTGACGCATTTTGCCTTCCTCAGCGCCGAGCTGTGGCGGGCCTGCGAGGAGGGCAACCCCGAGAGGGTCCAGACCTTGCTGACTTGCCAGTGCATGTTCATCGACCAGTTGGCGGGGGACCGCGGCTACCTCGAGGCCGCTTGGTTCCTCACGGGGCTGGAGCCTCCCCCGTGTCGCGTGACCAGTCGTCACACGGAGCGCGAGGCCCAGACCCCGTTTTCACCCCTAGTGGATCCTCGCTGGCTGTCGGCGCAGGGCGAATACATGAAGGAGCTGCAAGCATTTCGGGCGCGCCTCGACGCCGAGCGCGCCGTCGCGCTCCCCAAGCATCCACCTCATCAGCCCAAGCAGCCCAAGGTCTCAAAGCCCCCCTTCAAGTCTCAGGGTGCTCCCAAGGCCCCGAAGGCGGTGCCCAAGAAGGACTGAAGATGCCCTTGGCGCCCGCCTTCTTGGGAGGGGGGGCCTTCGCGTGGCCGGGGTACGCCGCCGCAGACAGTCTGCACCGACGCTGCTACGGCTGCTAGGCGTGTTTGGGCGCAGCGAGGGCGTGAGGGTAGGAATGCGCTCCTCCAGCGATGCTGTTGCGGCCCCGCAGGGAGGAGTACGTTCCGCCACCACGCCCCTCGCTCTGCTCCGAACCGCCCCTCGGATCCATTCGGCCATTTTGGCCGTCACCTGCCTCAGTCGAGCGCTCCCCCCATGGGGCCTGCAGCCCCTGAGGTTGGTGTTCTTGCTGGTGCTTGTTCTCCTTCAAGCACCCCTGCTGCTCTTGCCAACGTCGCGCCATTTGTCGCTGACTTGTCTGCCTTGCTGCGCCTGTTTCCAGGCGCGAACATTGATATCACCCACTGGGCGGCAGCGCTGTCCCAGGTTGGGATGGGTGCTCGATGTTCTCTTGGATCTTTCTCCCGCTCATCAATGCGTGCAATGGACAGGGACGACCCGTACCTTTTGGGGCCGCCTCCCCGCGATCCTTGGCCGTGCCCGCCTGCTCCACCTCTTGGTCCCCCGCCTGACGGCTTGTCGGCGAGGCGCAGGGAGCGCTGGAGATTGCGGCGCGCGGCGCGGACGCTCGCGCAGTATTCTGTTATTGCGTTGAACTGGCTCACTTTGGGTCATCCTAGCCTCGCTCCCGCCGAGGCTCGTGTCCGCGCCACGGTCTCGCCCTGCCAGGAGGGCGTCCGCACCCGTATCGAACGGTTGTGTCGGATCGCAGTTCGCCTTGCCCGTGGCGGCAAGAGCGACTTAGGTCGAGCCTTCGCCAAGTTCGACTCTACTGAGGTCTCGCTCCATGGCCTGGCCACCCATGTTGCAGCTTTGGAGGCCTCCTTCACCTCCTCTTCTTCCGTGCCCGCCCCCATGCGGCACTGCCCGACCAGCGCTCCTTCCGTGCCTGGTTCGCTGGCGTCTGCGGCGGCTTGGGACTCCACCCAGGTCGAGCCCTTCGATTTAAAAGTCAGGGCGTCTCGCATTAAGTGGGATTACTCGCCAGTGTTTGATCCCATTCCATTTCTCTCTGACGCTCGAGTCCGCGAAGCGTTCATCAATCCAGAGGAGATGCGGCTCCCGGCGTCAGAGTGGCCTGCTGGCCAAAAGGGGGCGCGTGTCCATATGGACCGCGCCGAGCTGTGGGCCCTGCTCCAGAAGTGGGATGCCTGCGGCGCCCTGTACCTGACTCCTGCTTCGGACCTCGCCTGGGATGAAGCCTGCGGAGCTTTCAGGGTACCGAAGGACAGCGACTTCGACAGGCTGATCCTGAACCCAACGGTCGTGAACAGCCGCTGTGCCTCAATCTCGTCCAGCACCCAGCGCCTTGGCCAGGGTTTCCTGCTGTGCCGTTTGGGTCTGGCGCCTGGGGAGTGGCTGGCAGTTTCTTGCGACGACCTACGGGAGTTTTACTACACTTTCCGCGTTCCTCCCGCGCGCGCCAGGCGTAACGCCCTTCGCGTTCGTCTGCCATCATCCCGCTTCAAGGCCTTTCGAGCCTGGCGCCCCGAGCTCGAAGGTGTGGACGTCGCGCCTTGCCTCAATGCTCTAGCGATGGGCGACAACATGGCGGTGGAGATTGCCAACTCTGCACATGAAGGCGTCTTGCACAGCTTCGGGGCCTTGCGGCCTCACGAGCAGGTTGTCCACCGCTCGCCCTTCCCGCGGGGACCGTTTGTCGAGATGCTGAATATTGATGACCATACAGGTTTTCAGAAGCTCTCGTGGCATGGCTCCGCTCCTCGCCCCGACGACCCCTGTCGTCGTGATCGTGAGGTCTTCGCCGCCTGCGATGCAGGCTACCCGCGCGTGGCCCTGATTCAGCATCCAGGCAAGCGCGCGCGGCGAAACGCACAAGGTGGTGGTGGGCGCCGAGGTGGAAGGGCGCATAGGCATCGTCTGCGCTCCCTTAGTGCGGACGGTGGCCTTGTGCAGGCTGACCCTGATCCAAATCTACCTCGGCATCACCACACGCTCCCTGTTAGCCTCTCTTGTGGGCTGCTGGGTCCAGGTGTTCCTCTATCGCCGTCCGATGCTCGCCATTTTCACGCACGTCTACAACTTCCTGTCGCGCCTGGCGACCGAGGAGGGCATTGAATACGACT